CAATAGAGATAAAGAGAAAGAAGTGAGAGAAAAGGAAACTAAATGTTAAAAAAAAAAAAATGTAAAAAGCATGAACAATGAAAGGAAGGAAAAAGGAAAAAATAAAAATAAATAAAATAAAAAATAATAAAACAAAAATAAATTAATTTTTTTTTATTTCTTTATGACATTTACAACTATATTACATAAATACAACAAGTAAATTTGGACATGATAGATATAATGACATGAATACACTTGCTGAGTAACTACCCAATGGTAGCACTCTAATGACATGACTACATTAGGAGATCACGGGGCCATCTTCTTTTCAGACACATCGGAGGGTTATCAGGAATTGAAGAGGAAGCAAGGTTAGAAACGAGAGGGTTGGGATGATTCTGAAGTTTATTATGGAAGGATAAGTATCTGGATTGGGCCAGATCTGAAACATAAGGAACATTAAGATCTTTATGGATAATGTTATTAGTGACAAAGTATGGAGCATTGAAGATTTTACTAAGGATTTTGGATTGTAAGGATTGGATGTGAGAGGAATTCGATGGTTTAGTGGAGCCCCTAGCTCTATAAAATAAAATAAAATAATAAAAATGTATATATATATATATATATATATATATATATATTACTAATATTAACTAATACTTCTGTATATTTATATATAAGTTCATATATTGTCCTAAGGATAGAAGAGTATGCTGTGTATATAGCAACCCAATATAATATGTCAGCAATCCTTTATATTTTATATTTTATGAAAATAAAGTGTTTCTCTCTGCCCGACCAAGCGAAGCGACACTATGTTTGAGTTGTTTGGGTTTTCCGATAAAGGTTAAGTGACAAATGTTTAAGCGATCGGCTGGTTCGATTTTTTAGGTTTGATGGCTCAAATTTCACAAAGATTACCTGAATGTGTTCGAAACATTTTTTGCTAAAATCACTGGCCCATGATTGGATAAAATGTGTTTAATCTGTGATCTAAAAGGTATGTAACGATTTTCGGAGAAAACGGCTAAGTCTATTTTTAAGTTTGATATCTAAAGTTATTCGATGATATCCCTTGAGTGCTTGGAAAGCGAAGCGACACAACGGTTACGTGTTTGGGCTGACTCGCTAGTGAATAAAATGTGTTAAATTAAATTTGCTGAAATGTATGTAACGATATTTTGAGCAACCAGTTGGATCAATGTATATGTTTAATGATCTAAATTTTGCATTGAGATCCTATAAGAGTTTTAAAACAATTTGGGCTCAAAGAACTGACAAATTATTGTATACAATGTTTGTAATCTGTCCGTTTAATGCAATTTAATGGTTTTCTGAGTGAAAAGCTGGCATGATATCTATGTATAATAGTCTAAATTTTTCATTGAGATCCCGTAAGTGTTATGAAACAATTTATGCTCAAAACACTGACAAATCATTGTATAAAATATTCGTAACCTGTCCGTTAAAAGGTATCTAACGAATTGATGATATCTCATGGATGTTTATTTATTTTAACTTCATATTATATTCCAAATATTTTTAAATATTTGATTTTTAAAAATTAAATGTTTTTTTATTAGATTCATTTCCTATCAAATTATATGTAACATCTTGATCAAACGTGATGAATGTAAATTTCTAATACTTAAAAACAAATATATGGTGTGCGTATCACACGACTTACATTTACCACTCTACTTTAAATAGAAATTATTTTCTGGTCATGTTGGGCTTTCACAAAATTTCTGGAATGAATTTTTAACGAAGCCAGACTTTAAACCTTATAGCTATCCTGTAAAAACTCATTAATACCATCAATATACACAAATATTATTTATTATATCGAAGATAGGCTAATAACTTCATCTGTTTTGGAAAACAACATAACTATAGTCCACAGGCGGATCTACGGGCGAGGGGGGGGGGGGCGAGGAGGGAAGCTTTCGGGCTGAAGATCCATCCTCTCCCCAAATTGGTCAATTATAACAATATTTTACACAAGAAAATATTAAAAACTCTCTTAAAGTATTCTTGTACGTGTAATTACATTAAATAGGACTTCAAGAACCACGCTTCAATAAAATCTTTCGGGCTGAAAGCCCCCAAAAATTAAATCCTGAATCCGCTAGTGCTATAGTCTCTGAATTATTTATGCCTAGAAAGTTTGTAAAGTACATCTGTACATTAAACATGTAAATGATTATATATTGTTCTACGATTAATTATTAAACTATTATTTTCCATTATAAAGTTGACTAAAATGGAGTTACGAGATTTTCTAGTATAATAAAATATTATTATTTATTTATTTTGGTTTAAAAGAAGAACAAATCCTGTGGTTTCGTCCGTTTTCTTAAATTTTCCGCCAACTTGATAGAATTTTAGATATAATTGTAAAGTCCCATCTCTTTTAAAAATTTGGTTACTTTGTTCAGGTAACAGTCTTCACTTAGAGCCTTAATGAGGGATGTTGGCCATTTTTCTGCTATATTTATGACAGTCTTCAAATATGTGTTTCACTGTGAAAGTTGACAGACCTGACAGTGTGGAGTTGGCTTTTTTGTCATTAGATAGGGCGTGTATGTCCAGTACGTAAGGAAGTAAATAAAATAGTTATGAACAATGTGATTGATTATCTTGATTCGGTGGATTTTATATAATTGTTTCAAACTAAAAAATAATTTTAAAAGTTTATATATATGAAAGTGTTTATATAGCCAGGAAATTTCATTTGAATTCCTTGTAAAACATGGTTTTCTTTAAATAATATTAGTTTTCAGAAATTATTAATTATAATATTCTCGTCACTCTCCATCACCTTCTCCTACTTTAGATGTTAGATATTATTTTTTAGTCAATTCTCAGCTTTCCAAAGATATATTATATGTATATCATTTTATATGTAAAACATTTTTCCTTTTTTCTCCTTTAGTCAGTTATCAAATTCTATCATAGTTGGTATTGAGCGTTTTCTTATTAATACTAATAATGAGAGACAGCTATTTTTTTTTAAAAAATGAATCAAATTAAAAGTACTTTAGCGGAAGAAATTTTGAAAATTAAACATTCAAGCCCTGTTACGTGACATTAATGGGGATTAGGCCTACCTGATTTTAAGGAACTTTTAATGTTACATTAATGTAAAGAATTTAATCTAAATCACTGGAGCCGATTTCGAGAAAAACTTAAAAATGTGTTAAATCGATAATGTAAAGGGCCACTTCGGTTTGCTGATTTTGACAAAAAAAAAAAAAAAAAAAAAAAATGGTGCAATATCCAAGGCATATACAAACCATATATATGCAATTTTATTTCCATACGACTTTTTGTTTTTGAGGTAGTGATTGTTCACATACAAGCACACAGACCATTTTGTAAGACTTTTTTTTTAAAGACTTGGTTATTTGGAATCAGGGTACCTCAAAATGTGTATTTCCGTTAAAACTCGGATTTTAAGATTTTCGCAATCATAATAGCAACTTTTCATTACTATATATTTCATATAAAGATAAGTAAAAGTAATATAAAAGTTAAAATAAAAAAAAAATTTTAAAAATACTATAGAAAAGGATAATTCCTATCTGAGGAATGTAATCCCATGTCTACTTAAACACCTCGGTAGATTATTAGGAAAATATATATTTATTTATTTATATATATATATATATATATATATATATATATATATATATATATATATATATATATATACAACGTATTCATAAACTTGGCATAGTAGTTGGGTGCCTTTCACTACACATACAGCTCCCGGCAAATAGATTCTTCCACTCATGTATCGGTGAATGTCAACAATCGTAAGAATCTTGATTAAGTTCGGAGTGTGATAGACACCTGTCTACTACACCAAGTTTATATATTCGTAGCTGTCAATTTCACTATCAATCTACCAAGAAGTTTAAGGAGATATGGAAGTACATTCCCTTAGAGTGGATAGGATTTTCTGATTTATGTATTTGATTTTTATATATTATAATATATATATATATATATATATACATATATTATAATACAAATAATTTTATGTTAAATGATTAGCTTCACTAATTTATTTCCTTAATATATCCTTGAGTTATTACATTATTGAGTTATTTGTGAAGTAAAACGTCTGAGCCATGAATCTCTGGGCCGTTTCCTTTTTAATCTGCGTCGAGCAGATAAAAGGAGAAGGAAACTGGTAGAACGAGTCGATGAGCTGATTTTGGTTTGAAGAGTAAAATTTGTTTTATTTGTTATATTTTACAGTTGGAGTCTTTAAATCTTTCTTCTTAGTGTGATTTGAAGTGTACTATAACCTGTTTACAATTCTTCAAAGAATTTTGTGCAATCTGTATTTTGTTAATGTGTGTGTATTTTGCTGAACACCAACGTTCTGCACCGTGTATCCAAATTGGTTTAAGTATCGTGTTGTAGATTAGTAGCTTGTTTCGTAGGTTAAGTGAGGATTTGTGTGGTCTAGAACATGTGACAATTGTTTTGTCGGTTTTCGGCTTAATTTCGTATGTATCTTCCAAATAAGTCTTTTGTGTAAGTAGAGTCCAAGGTACTGTACATAGTATTTTGTTATTAAGGTACTGTACATAGGCTGTATTATTGTCGATGGCTAAAAGTTGACATGTAGTGATTGATATGTTTTTCCCCGTACTAATACATTTGAAGAATGCAATAATTAGTAATGTTTTTTTCTCTTTGCCTAGCCTGGCATTTCCATTATAGGGTCGTCTATACTAGTACATGTTCTAATGGGTAGAAATAAAAATTTAAAAAAAATATAATATAAAATAAAACCTCCCAACTAAAATATTTTAGTACATTCTAACGTATTTAATTGATACGAAAGAAGCTATGATAATTGCGTTGAAAATGAAACTGAAACCACCAGCGATGAGCTATCCAAACAGGTTTCTGTCCCGTGTTTCACAATTTAAATGAGTAGATAACACAATGAGTCGAGTAATACGCAATTCATTTCTTCAAATGCAGATAATGTAAACATGCCAGAACATGATCCTAGCTACCATAACTCCTTTCTGCTAAGAATTATACTCTACATCTTGTACCGATATCTCACTGGGAGATCGCCGACCCTGGTGAGACCCATTGACCGGTCCTCTGGCCCCCAATTAGAAGATGGTCCAGGAAGCTATTGCGTGATCCTGAGTTGGGAAACACCCCTAGGAAAAGGGGTGGGGACTCTAGGATATAAGCCCAAACTTCACGGTCATGGTCAGTCTTCTAGCAGCAACATGTTCCTGGTAAGTTGTCGAAAAGACAATAACATATTTTCATTTTTGTTTAAAAGTATTTTTCTACGTTCAAAAATTTAATCTGAAGTTTACGTTTACAATATTGTTCATTTAGCACATTTCTAAGGTTGTCAATTATTAACAAAATATTTTGTGGATCCAAATTCAATATTCCTTCTATGCAATGACGTCTGTAAAGTTAAATTAAGCTATATTCAAAAATTTGTTTTAAATTTTTTTATTAATAATTATTATCTCAAAGATATTAGTCAAAGGTTGTGTGATAGTAAATAAGCAACCTGCAGTTCAGATATCCCTCATAATCGAAATTTTATTAATTGATTTTAGAAATACCACAGAATGTATAGCGAGCTAATAATAATATCGAAATATATTAAATGGAATTAAGAAATCGTAACTAACAAATCCCGAAAAAAAAACAGCGCTAAATCAAATTTATTTTGTAAATGCTTTAGAGTTTCGATAAATATTTCATGATTTTTTTTTTAAATCTATTTATTGAATAATAATACAATCAGCCTCTTAATTTCATGAATAGGGAATGTAATAAAGTTGTTTCAACTAACGGGGATGTCTATATACGTTAGCTTTACCGTACATCTCCCCGTTCTTCGATAAGCAAGAGATTGGCTATAGACGCTGCACAGCAAGATGACAGTCAGTCCTCCTCTGGACACGGTTCTTTGCGACTAGTCAATTTGCATCATATCGATTCAACACAAAAATAAGTAAATAAAAGAAAATTTCGTTGTTTTAAAATATAGGATATTTGGGATACAATGATATATGCTTCTTGTCCTTCTAAACAAGTAATACTGTGTATTGGAAGTGGCCGCAGTGGAATAAAAAATATATGTATAGATAAATAAATGTACATTTATTATTTATTCTATAAATTAACTATAAAGTTATTTTTAAAAATCGGACACATAATTTCATAAATAAAACAATATAAACAATAAATTTTCTTTTAACAATAGATCGTAAATCAAACCTACACGTAGTTAAAAACATGGTATTGAAATTCCTCCATAATATTTTTTTTTCCTTTTTTTTATTTTTATTTATGTATTGAGTATTTACATTTGTCTCTTGGACATTGGTTATAGTGAGGTAGGACATTCACACTATATGCTCAAAAAATATAAAATTAATAGAAGCAAAATAATAATCAAAAGTATATACAATAAATAATAAAATAAAAAAAAAATCTAAAAAATAAGAAAATTAAAACTAAGCAAAAAAACACATGTATATCTATGATTAATGATTATAAAAATAAAATATGTATTCTCATCAAAACACTAGTAGACAAACCGTAAATGATCATCCATATTAGTGTTTTAATGTCAATAAACTAGTAAAAATGAAACATATTAAATCATTATCTAGTTATTTTCTTTTTTGTTATTTGCCTGTAGGTTCATAATAACGCTAATACCTCAAAATAATATTATAATTTTGATAGTATTAGAAAAGAAAAATTGATGCATTTATAGCATTATTGTTATATGGGTTGAATATGTCTATCTTAAACAAATCTATTCTAATGTATCTATTATATGATCGGTATTGTATTTGACTTTTGAATTTTTCAAGTACATTGCAGATGATAGCTAAGGAACCTAAATGCTCTTCTTGTCTGCGTCAAGAAATAACTCTTGACACTTCCATTCTACTTAGTACGCGATGGAAACCTCGAGCCAACCGTTAGGGGTTAAAAACAAAACCAGCTTACAGAAATATTCTTATACACAAGTTACTGTACCAGTACCCATAATATTCAGCATTTTCATAGCCTCGGTTTAAATCTTTTTATTTTTTTGAGGGATGTGGAAAAGATAAAAAACAATTTTTACTGTTATAATGGAACAAGCAACAGTTATGGTCTCATTTATGTTCGAAAACAAGATTCACGTAGTAACTTCCATTTAATGTTTGTTCTGTTAATCTGTTTAGGTAAATAAAAGAATGAATAAAAATAAATAAATACCGTTTAGAAACATAATGAAACAAAGTGAGGAAAAGATATTATTAATCAATAACCTTTAAAGAGTTTGATTATACTTAAAGAAAACTAGTGTTTTTTTATCAAGTCCTCCATCATATTATGTCTAATATTAACAGCTTCTGGGGATTAACTAATGATACCCAGAATATATTTTCGTCGTCAATCGTTGTCGGAGACGTAGGTGTAGAGGATGTCGTAGCAGATTGATGGGGATTACGAAACTAATATCGGGTTTACTGACCCTTATGATGGGTACTATTAAATAGCCGGCATCTTTCGAAATGAGACCACTTAAAATGCAAAATAGGATGCCTGAGAAGGTGCATCACATCAACAACACCTACGCGACCCGAGAATAATTGAAAGAAATCTGCATACTATATCGAAGGTCGTAGCTAATACGCAAGTAGGATGTTTATGAAAAAAATTATATTAAATTCAAAATAAGTTATCTCAAAATATCTACAAGCTTCTTAAAAACGATCGGTTATTAAATTCTGGTCATATCACTAGTTAGCATATCAGGTAACAACTTTTTAGGTATATCCTTATCAGGTAATAACCTTTTTAAACCTATCTCTATAACATAAAATGGTTATTTAAGGTCCCATAAGCCTAATCGTTTCGTCATTATATCACTTATCGTAAAAGCAAGAGTTTCATTAGTTTAGCTTACAGTACGAATAATTTTAACAGTTAGAAAAATATCCCATGTATCTATCGTGTGGAGAGTTATGGCACTTAATAACAACTTGTAATTAAAATCGATTGCCGTTGGCAATGATGCCGAGTAGAAAGGAATTAAAGATATGTGGTTTGGTTATGTGTTTAATTGCTTAGTGGGCAGAGCTTGCATAACCGGAGTCGTACTCAAAACCTCCCTGCCCATTAACGTCCACACCAGGATCTCGCTGTAAAGATGCACTTTTAATAGACTACTTTATTCTGACGTAAAACTTTTTTGCGAGACTTTCGAAAGTTATGAGAAGCTTCTTTACAGTCCATTTGTACGTATTGTCCAATCTAATTTGAGGTTCTTTGGGCAGAAAATAAACTTTATAAACTATTATACCAAGACTCATGTTCTCAATATTTTATTTGCTATTTTACGAAAATTACTTTCATTGTCAGCTTTTTATTTTATTCATATCCCAATCATGGAATAAGCTTCAACTTACTGTCTTTATTTTATATGGATATTGAGGTTTGAAAATGTTCTACCTAAAAATTGAATACTTAATAAAAAAAAATTCTTATACTTTTTAAAAGTCATCAAACTTTATATTAAAAAATTCCTTTGTTCCTTTGTTCAAAAACTTATTCTAGATAAAAAATTTCCAGAAGGAACCAGGGAACAATTTAAATAATATATTTAACTGTTTGTTCACACGATACTATATATGTTCATTGGATTAAAACAAACATTAATAGTAAAATTAAAAAGTACTCGTAGAATTGAAATGTATTTGTTTTTTTGTTTCGAAAATTTTCACTCGTGTTTTTTTTTTTTTTATTATTCTAAATGTGTTTATCCAAATTTATTTTCTAAATATTGAGTTTTGAACTATATTTTGTCACTGTAAATGTCAAATTTTGTTAAAAAATAGATAAAACAGAAAACGAAAAAGAAAATTAAAGATTTAATTCTTCACCTTTTACGGATGATAGAGCTTATTCATACCTGAAGAGGTCACCTACTACAGCAAATGTCGAGTTTATAATAAGTTTTAATAAAAGCCTAACATTTATTCAAGATGTTTCAATATCCTTAAACTACTCTTACACTGCCGATAACGTATATTCAATATCAGATATCGTCAATACATTGACGCGGTTTATATTTATGTGTATACCGTAAAATTCAATAAAATTCCTTATAAAGACTAATAAACAACTTTTCTGATAATAATAATAATTGTGTTATACAATTAGTGTCTTTCATAAGCCAAAGGATTTCATTAATTTAATGAATAATACGACTACATCTGATGGAATTATTTGTTTTCTAAACATCAGAACGTCAATAATAAATTAATTGAAATTAATATCCATGTCAAGTGCTTCGTAATTCTTTTGAATGCCATAAGATTCTTGACATCGGCAATTAATTTATTGAGCAGAGGATTTTAACTACGGTTATTAATTTACGAAATGGAAAAATCTATAATTTTTTTTTTTAATATTTTTTCTATGAAAATTCAAGTAGCATTTCATTCTTCATCTTGGTCGTGACTGAAGGTAATAAAACATGAGAAGAATCAGATAAGAGAAGGATTGAATTATCAGCGAGACAATGTAGAACACCTGCTGTTACGTTACTGCCTCTGAATGAATTGGCCCAGACACCTGAGCTACCCGCGACCTGTGGGTGTTCCAAAACCGGTCCTCCACTTCCAAGGTTTCTTAGATAGCAATGAACACGTCTTCCTGTCTCACTCAATCCATTTTTCTTTCGCCCTGTGATCTAAAAAAAAAATTATTTTTTTTTATCAAGATAATTTAATATTATACTGAATACACTTCCTTTTTCAAACAAAACCAATAAACCTTGTCCAAACAACTAAATTAATTTCTCAATACCCTAATTACAATGTTGAGAACTTACCTCTCATGGATTGTTTAAATATAAATAAGAAATACACCAATTTACATGAATGAAATATTATAAATAAAATTGTATTTCGATTAGTATGAACTTATGGAACAAAACTCATGGAACAAACGTATTTAATTATTTCATATACGGTGTCCCATATGTAAATGAAAATATTTAAAGAGTAGTAGTATCCCCTAAGAGCTACGAAAAATTTTGTATACGCCATGATCTAATTTTCAGCAAAAAAGGTTGTAAATTTAAGTTTTGTGTTTTTGAAGAGTCACGTTTCTTATTGAGTCTCTGTATTTTCAACAACAATGATCACGATGATTTATCAATAAACTATGTTTTCTTCTTTGACCTGGAATGAATCACAAAAATACACTTGTTTTTAATGTTAATAAATAATGTTTTTACAAAAATTTATTCACAACTCTTTTAACACCGCATCCTGATTTCTGCAATCAGGGTTGACCCTTATTGCATTATGAGACCAACTAAATGTTCTTTTTTTTCTTGCGCCAGTCATCTGTTGGTCGCTGCTGCCCTCCAGTTAAGAATACCCACCCGTAAGATGGATCGCGACTGACAGCAATTATCCGTCGTAACTGGTGTATTACTAGTCTTCTGGTGGTATAGATGTTTTCATCCAAAATCTTCGGAGACGACCAACCTTGATAAATCTTATAATAACAGAGTTCTAATCCAGTTCTCCTAATTCTATGTTCGTTTGTATCAGACACCATTGGTATTTTTCACTAGATATGCGGTTCAAATCGAAGCAAAAGAAATTCTTGTATTCTTGTAACATTCTGAACCTTAGGTTAGCACGGTTAGCTTGGTTGACTGTTTTAGACGCAAAATAACTAGGTTATCAGCGCCCGATCCGTAAAATAATATTATTATTAAAATATTTAGCCGGCAGCTTTAATTGAAAAATTATAATATATAATAGATAAATAATAAAATAAAATAAATAATAATATCTGATAAATACTACTAATATTCACTGGTCTGCTGTATGCGTCTAATACTCAGAGTCTTAAGAATACTTCTAAACTTTTCGATCTGACATTAATAGTGCCATGGTTATGCCAATTAATATCCACAGTGATTTTCATTTCCTGATCGTACCGATCATTACAGTTTGTAAATAAAAATATAAAATAAAAAATAAATTATATGGAACATATCTTATTAGCCCATGTTTCATAAACCATATGCAAATATATATTTTATATAATACGTGAAAAAAAAATATTACAATATGTACACAACACATAACTAAAATTCTAACATTCCATATTACCAAATAATTTCATTTTTAGTAAATAATCTTCCATCGATTAATAATAAATATTTATTCATGTAAAGTGTTGGAGCTCCCTTTGACGTCGATGACATTGATATAAGAGTGATTCTTTTCCCCAAAATGTTTATTTTAGGGACTATGATCATTTGAAAACAAAAAGGAGAAGCGATTACATTAATGGGGGATAAGTGAAGACATTCTACCTTGAAATTAAACTTCACCATGAGTAGACAAATCATGAGAAGGATGAGTTCTGTATTAGAAGTCCTATTTTTCTCATAAATAAATTGCCGAATGCTATTTTAGGTCTGTGCCAGTTCCCCTTAGCGGCTTTGCCACAAGGACGCTACCGTAAGAGAGCGCCCATCTCTTGCTAAACTCTCTGTAATTTGTGTAAGCTTTCCTGAATGAGATGTTATGAAAGTGCAGTTAGTGGGAGGATAACATTAGTCCTGTCTAGGATAGCAAACATTTCTTCTCCTCTGATACATTTTTTTTCGGTCATATTTCACAGCTGTGAAATACTGCAACTCTACGAGTAACAATTACATAATATATACCAAGTACTGCAGTTTTTCGAATTTATGGAATTAATTACATTCCAGTTTTTTGTAATTAATCTTAAATTAATTAATCTAAATTTAATTAATTTAATTTAAATAAATCTAAATGTTTGAATTTAATTAATCTAAATTTAATTAATTAATCTGTAATTTTTGTTAAAGTAAAACTTAAATGTATTATCAGAGATGCTTTGCCATTTTAAGTGCTCTCTTAATTAAACTAAGAGTTCGCATCTTGTTTTTTTTTTGTTCTAAAACACACTATATCGTCGGTTAGTTACAATAAGTCATTAAGTGACATTTTATAACCTTAAATCACTTTGTGAAGAGCCTGTTTATGTAAATAATTTTTAATGACGCCTTTACAAAAGAATTTTACATATGGAATTGGTTAGATATTTTGCTATTTCCTATATATTATGGTTGTTATTGAGATAGTGATGGTCCTTGCTTTGTTCTAATTAACTATAAATCAGGAAAGTTAGTTATTAATTAATTATATGAAGATAAATGTTAATTACTTTTTAAGCTGTTATTTGATTAATTGAGAATCTTGATTTTCTGGCACGTTTGTAGTTTTTCACTGACTAAATTTTATATCGTTTAGGATATCGCCTGTGAGTATTGAATGCACCCTCCAGATTGAATAAGTTTTGGCAACATTTAGTCTCTAATGCCCCGTTCCGTGTCAAAAGAACATTTAGAATATTTTGAAATCGCAAAAATATGGTTGTTAATTTATTTAAATATACACCATTAACTATCATGAAAATGAAAGTAAAGAAAAATATATACGCTAATTTGCCTATTTTCTTTTAGGTTTCTTCCTACTTATCTAAATCTATCCATCTCTATTATTTTGTCTTCTACAGGGACACTGTGCTAGTTATGATCCCAGAATTTTCCTATCCTGATTACTTTCTTCATTTACACTAGCGGATCCAAGATTTAATTTTTTTTTTTTTTTTTTTGGTGGGGCTTCAGCCCGAAACCTTTTTTTTTGATATGCGCAACAATATTTTTTTTTAAAGAAAAAAATTACATTAAAATTAAAAACAACAAAAATTATTTTTTTTTAAATGAAAGAAATTAACTACCTATATGAAATAGTGTTTAAGTTGTTCTTGAATTTCTATTTAATGTAAATGCACGAATAATATTACTTTAAGAGATAGTTTTTAATATTTTTTTTCTATAAAACATGATTATATTTATCTTTTTTGGGGGGGGGTGCTTCAGCCCGAAAGCTCTCCCCCCCCCCGTAGATCCGCCTGTGCTCATTTATATTCTTGTTTATTTACCTTAAACCCTTTTAAAGGATTAATATCTTGTGGTGGAGATCCATACCATCTTTTCCAAGATCACCAGATCATTTCCATAAGTCAGCAACTTGTAGCTCTATTGTGAAATCCTCTTATTCTAGATTTGGCCTTCTTCAGAACTGAATGTAGGAGAAGGAAGAGCAGGAGATGGATGAAACCACAACCTTGGCGAATGTTAGTGATTGTTTCGAATTCCTTAAAGGTGCAGTTATATGTCCTCACTACACTTCCATTTCTTTTGCATTGCCTTTCAATAGCCATCATGAGCCATATATCCCTCCCAACTCTTCTTAGGCTTCAACATTTTTTGTTTTTTGAAAGATTTTTGTCAAGTCCACGTAACAACTTAACTCTTTCATCTTCCCTACCATTTTATTTATTTATTTTTGTTTTAATATTTGGTCCATTGTAAAGATAAGATCCTGTTTGCACCTTCAATTTTGGGAACCACACTGCGCCTCTTCTACTGTCAGTCTCTGTCCTCAGTTTTCCATGATCCATTTGTTTATCAATAAATAGATTTATAGATACTAAGATCAGAGAAAGGATATTGCTGCTGGAAAGTCTGACAATGCTATGAAACGGGATTAATCAATAGTAAAGATCTGTCAAAGAAACAAAAGGTGACGATATACAAAACACTTTCATCATTACTTACTTACTGAATAACTATGTAGGCCACGGTAGACTTTGGTTTCTCAGACAATATTCATCCATTCCTAGATGTCTTGGTGTTTTTCTCTATTCTGATACAACGTCTTGAATCAATTACTTGCTCCAGTAATTTTCTTGACATTCTGGTCTCCGGCATCCATATTACGAGACCAAGCCATTCTTCGCTTTAACCTCTATTCATATACTAACATAAGATGACTAAGTATAAGAGCTTCATACAGAGTTCAGATGTGAGATTCCTATGGTCAATAGCAGGTAAAATAAGACGCAACAGTATTAAGAACATCACAATAAGTACTAAATTCATTTCCCCATACTGCATACCGTATTTATTGCCGTAAAGGTAAGGGAAGATGCAAATAAATTTTATTATAAAAAATAGATATTTCTTTAAATAATCAGGACTTCCTAAAATACCTTAAAAATTCTGCCACAATGAGGATAATGTGTACAGGTTGTCCGCTTTTACATACGTAACGAATGGCTTTATTTTTGAGTGCAAAGGGTCAAATTATTCAATAAAATTCTATACATTGACTGACAAATAATTCTATACAATTTTTTTAATGTTTTAGGATTTTTAAGCTTGGTAGTTCAAGTTACTCAATAAAATTAAGCATTGAAGCTCAAAATTCTCTAAACTATATTTTATGCATCAAATTTTTATTGTTTCGTATCATATCATGTGTAAGTTCATTTTGAAATGAAATAAAAATAAAAATTCTCAATGTATATACAAAAAGACATATTCCTAAAAAATAAAATAAATTAATACATAAATAACAATATACATCCTAAAGATATTTGCTTGTATGTATATTTATGACTTTTGGTAAATTGTTAGGAAAATTGCCATCTACGAATATTTAAGAGTGATTTGCCTTAGGTCTCCTGGCAAGTAGATTTTGTCGCAAACCTCGATGCATGTCGATATCCGATAGCTTTGTCATGGGGTGGAGGGCAACCGACTACTAAAACCAAGTTTAAATATTCGTTGACGTCAATTTAACATTCCACCAACTAAGGAGTGGTTATAATGTATAATGGTTATTTACGAAGTTGTTTTATCAATTATTTAAAATATTTTTTTTTAGGATTGTTTTAATAAATCAGTTGTATAAAAACAGAGTTTACAATTCGACGCAGTCTTGAATAGATAATCGATCGTTGTTTGATCTGGTGTGTACTTATCAACTAAATTTTAAAATCTTGTAAGTCTCATATACACTACAATGAAAAATCACTAATTGTTCCGTTCTAAAACTTAAAATAAAAAAATTGGCTCGATTCATTGATAATTGAGTTTCGTATTTAATCACAATTTGTTAATACCAATCGACATCTTATACATGACAGTCTAATGAATGTTTATTAATAAATTATAATGTTCATTATGAATAAAAACATTATATTGGTTTAATGGTCCAAATATAATACTTAAACGAAAGACTTGATTGTCATTCCGAGGATGTTTTTCCGGTCGATGGATTTCGTAACAAATAACAGACACTCCCGAGAATAATCGATAACTTATGTCACCATTCATAAATACCCTAACCCAATAGCAAATGACCTCTGCTATAACAGTTTCAATAAGCGAAACAATCCCATGTATCGCCACAATGAGCCAATAAACACGCTACGGAATCCGTTTCACGCACGATTTGTCTATTACGGTGTCTACTCATAATTTCCACTATGCATTGTGTTATGCCTATGTAAATCTATAAGTAAAAGAAATTACAACAAAAACCAAGAATATTGAATCATTTCTAAGAATGGCGTTATCTAGCGTGCAAAATATCGAATCGAACGCTGAAGAAATTCGACAGATAGTAGATAAAAAAAATCATATTGATTTTATAAAATTTTATCTGGCAGTTGTTTTTTTGCAGAATTAAGCATATATTGGTAGGTAACTTCAATGATGCTGAAGTACTTTTAAAGTTTCGAGTAAAAACATATTTATGTCTATATACTGTAATAATATATTTATTATTTTTATTTATATACATATATATAATAGGGTTTTCCGTGAGTAGAAGAAAATATTTAAAAGGCTGATAGTAGACATCAATATCTCCAAAAAAAGTTCATATTAACAAACAATTGCCTGATTTCATGCAGAAAAGTAGGAAATTTAGATTTGTGTTTTTTAAAGCTAGCCATGTTTTTGTTGAATAGGAAGCGATAACTTAAAAAATATTTGATTTAAGTAACATTCCTTCATAGTAAATTAGCCAAAATTTACTTTAAACAAATAGTGCGGTAAAGTTCTTTAGATTTAATGATATAATACTTGAAAAAAGAATAAGACAAATATATAATCATTAAGTTTTATTTAATTTGAGAATAGATCATTCTCAGATTTGTTGGTAGCATTTAAACATGATAACTATAATAATGTATATAAATATATTTTGCTTAAAACCAGCATTCGAACCTGGTATAGAATATGTTCAACCCCCCTAATAAAAAATCGGTCTTCAGTGAAATAAAAGAATAAATTTCACTCGCCACATCCTATGGCTAGAATAGGTTGAATGACATAAAGGCTTTTATCATTAAAAAAATTAAAAGACTAAGATAGTCTTTTGCTAGAAGAAAAATACAACTAAAATTTTATTCTTGAAAATAACCATGGTATATTTTAATTATTTATTATGGATTTTAGTGCTTCACTCCTTACAAAAATTAATTGTTTCCCATAAATAGAGGAATCTATAATTTATAGCCCATCTTAAATGCTGAGGATATCTAAGAGTTGATTACGCTATGCTTGATGGCTGTTAATTTAAGAATTCAAAGATAGTCATTAAAGTTGTACTACCAAAATTATTTATCGACCATTGATGTAAGAATTCCTTAGTCGTCTAATGGTTATCTACCGTTTCTTAACATCCATCTGTTTAATTAATTTTGTAAAATGATTCTAGTTTACACCTTGTCCCCGATTAGTTTTTCTTGCACATTCGTATTTTTTTTACAAATCCAAAAAAATAAATGAATCGGATCATAATGTGGTTTTTGAAATATTAGTTTATCAAGAAAAATGCGTTTGACTATTTCACAAAGGTAATAGTGATTATTCCAATTATTCTATTAAAATTAAATTTGAAAATATATGATATAGTTAAATATATTCTCATGGTACAAAAAACAAGAAATAAATATATAATATAAAAATATATAAAATAATACCTTGTTTTTTTTGTTTTGTTTTTTGTATTAAACAACGGTTTAACTGATAACCTAATTTTATTATTTATGTAAACATATCAAGGCATATTTATATGTATGTATATGTGTATATATATTTGCTTTTTATTTTTAATTTATTGTTTTCTATACCATGTAGTCATGTGGAATGTCTTTAATTTGAACTCTGTATATATTTCCGCTATTTCCTATAACTCAAAGGATTATTAATGTAGGAATTTCGAATTTTTATTATTCTTTAACTAATATGGAAAATGAGAATATCAAGAAGTTGCTCTGTTGTAGGTTAGAAAGAATATTCACTAAAGATAATGATAATAATTGGTTACAATATGTGAAACGAAGGTTGAGGACTTAAATGGCAGTAAAGTTTTGTCAAGTTGTGAAAAAAAATCATATTATATTTTCCTCCTTTTAGTAATTCAGCCATACCAATCTCGTCTTTTCACAGTAAAAAATAACGAATTAAAAGAGGATAAAATAAGCAGTAAAATTGCTGAATAATGAGAACGAACCTTTCTATCACTATTTATCATAACTTTACCTTTAAAAAAAAAATAAAAATACATAACCAACATTTACGTGTTCCAGAACGAAATATACGGAAAAGGATAGAAAAAAAATACCTTGTAGATAGTAGTTTTCCAAATTTAATGATCACTTTAATGAGCCAAATCATTTCTTAAGCTAAACAATTTTGTTGCAAGTTAAATCTGAAATATTTTAACATACCATCTAAATGAAAATTTTAATTTAATTTCTGTGCGCCCTGGAAGCGTTGCTTCTTGCTTTAACATTCTTGAGTCTAGCTGGGCTTGTCTAAATTCGGTCTAGACGAGTTGAAATTTATTTTGTAGTGCATACACGAAATGAATCTCGACCTTTCCATTCTGGACAGAGTAGGTATGTAGTTATCTCTATAACAAAAAAATATTTGCCTGAAACGACGAGATAGAGTATAAACGAAAAAATCAAATATCAAACCGTATTTTTCCGTTCACAATGCTAAAACTGCTGAAATTATTTATATGTAACTTGCGTAACATTCCCAAGAAAATACAGTTAAAAGTTTTATATAGAAAACCATTCGGCGTTGGCTTAAAAAAAATACATTTTATAGTTAATTATTAGAAAAGAAATTAACTTGAAAATAAAAAAATCTGTCCTATAGCAGCATATTTTAGATATTAGCATCTATCGGACATTAGTAAAAATAATTTCCCTCGTTGTACAGTCCATGCCACAACCATCTCTCGAACGGATGGACCTAGAGAAAAATGTTTTTTAGCGCCAAAAACGCCTCTAACAATTTTGAAGAAAGTTGACTAAAATCATTTAATTTAAATCTTTTTTAATTTTCATGTACATTTTAATTTACTTACAAGACATAAAAAAAACGTTATGAAGAAAATAAAACTGTTACGGGAATCATTTAACATATATATAATATATATATATATATATATATATATATATAAAATGAAAAAAAAATTCCAAATCGAACCAGTATCAAAAAAATTATAACGTATTTAATATTATACGAATACATAACATTTGTGTTATGTTCGGTAAGAAAGTTAGTGGACACTTCATGATTTTATTATGATTCTAAAAACATTTTTTTTTTTTATTTGTTTATTTAGCCTCTACCCCTAAGGGTCATTGGCTTAATGTTTCCATTTTATATTCGTTGATAATAGTGAATATTCTTTAGATATTTGAACAATTTTTCTATTTCATTCTCTTCATCTTGCAGAATTGTTTTCATTTCCGTTCCCATTTGAAATTTTTTCCTTATATTGGTGTACCTTCTACATTCTAATAGTATATGTTTTACTGTTCTGGGTACTAGGCAATGTGTGCAAGTTGGAGCTTCTAATCCTCGCAGGAGGTATCCATGGGAAAACTCACAGTGGCCAATTCTTAGGCGACATAGTATCACTTCTTCTCTTCTAGACTTTCTGTTTGATGTGTTCCATTTGATACATGTTGTTTTTATTTCCTGAAGTTTTGCCGACCTCATCTCCCATTCAACGTTCCATTTATTTTGAAAGGAGCAGGCAAGTTGGTGTGTCCAATCTTCTCGAGGAATAGCATCAATTATTGTGGTTTGTGCAGTTCCTTGACTGCCGGGCAGAGTTGGCAGCAGCATCGGCTCTCTCGTTACCCAGGATACCACAGTGTGATGGTGCCCAGATAAGGACTATGTTTTTATTTTCTTCCTTTAGTTCACCATATATGTTAAAAATGTCGGTTATAACAGGATGCTGGTTCGTTAATTGTTCTATGGCTTCTATTACGGACATTGAATCGGTTACGATAGCATGGTTTTTGAAGTGGTTGCTGCGGATGTGTAAGAGTGCTTCTTTTATGGCCGTGGCTTAATAAAACATTTTTATTAGTTCTTATGATTAGTTATTTCTAAATATAAATAATTATATGATAATTTTAATTTACCAGATAATGGATATACTTCTTTCTTTCTTATTGAAGAACTTATTATTGTATGATACCATGAAGATTACACAAGATTTTATTTTCTGTTACAGATTCTGTTTCTAGCAGTGGCGGCTGAGGGTGCTGTACTCCGGCCCCGGCAAGTTTCCAACAACAATAACAATACCTATTACCCATTCCCCTCAGGTTTCCCTCAATACCCGCAGGGCTTTCCTCAACCTCCTGCCTTCCCTGGGTCCAACCAGATCCCGTACTATCCTCAACCACAGCCAGAACACCCACATCCATCAGGCGTACAGAGGGACACACCAGTTGTGGTTACCACTCCCATCCCGATCGTCAAGGTGAACATCCAGCCCAATCTAGGTGACGGAAACTACCAATTCAGGTGATGTTTTACGTACTAAATAATTAAATAGTGTATAATGAAAAACATTCTAGGTTATAGTGATTGTCAGATATAAATTTTATATATATTATAAGAAGTTAGTTCATTATATATAATATCATTATGTTATAATCAGGAATAGGTAATATTCTATTAAAACATATCTATTTATAATATTTAAGAATAAGGCGACCACAACACCACAGTGAACTTTTAACTGACCAATGTTGATGATTTAAATTAACCAGACGTAAATAACTGGGATATTTGACATGTGATTACACATTATGGTATTTTAATCCCACTTTACATTCAAAGTAAGGAACAGTTTTAGGAGTACACAGAGTGAGATAAATTATTTGTATTAAATATAAAACAGCATCGTTTATTATTTTGCTTGTTTTGACTTAATTTATTATTATTATATTACCTTTAATAATGAGGTATTTTTAAAATGTTTAATACATAGTTTATTATTTCCATTACTCATTACTCTTAAACATTGCTAATTGTTTTACTCAACAATAAAATTATTTATAATAAAAGTATAAAACAATATAAAAAGTATTTAAAATATATTCATCTGTGTAATGAAGCTTTTCTTGATCTCTTTCATTAATTATGCCTGCATATTTTGCATTTTAACATTAAAATGTAATCAGGGATATTAGTTTAGTTTATTATTTTTTGTTACTCAGGACTATAAAACAAAAATGCACCATTGTACAGAATAAATTACACTAATTCGACGTTTATACCAACTACCAATCCATGTCAACAGATTGACGGAATGCGAAATAACAGAAATACTCATTATCGAAATAGTTTAGGTAAAACTGTATAAGACATCTAACTTGAGGGAATTATTGAAGCTTTATTTTTCCTTTTTAAATCAAGTATTTTTATCCAACATAATAGTTAATTTAAACATAATTAAAATACGCTGCTTAAAATACGTTACCATCTTAAAAGCAACTATAATTAAAAATTTACAATTTATTTTTATTTGATTCTTCTTTCTTGTTAGCCAGCCATTTTCTAAAGCGTTACAATTAATCTACTGATTTTTAAATAATGATCTTATGTTTCTCATTTATATGATGATAAAATTGTGCATGTTGATCTTGCATATCGATCATAAAGATATTTTAAGTAATATTTTGTTAAGGTCAATTGCTGTTATCGTTGTATATTAGGTTTGGAAAATAGAAAAAAAAGATAAAACTTTTGAGGAATAAGTAAATTTTTATATTACAGCTACGAGACTGGGAACGGAATCATAGCCGAAGAACGGGGCACCCAGCGTTTGGTCGGGGAACCAGCAGAAGCAGGCACAGTGTCCGAAGGGTCATACTCCTACACCGATCCAGAGGGGAATCTCATCCAGGTCACCTATACAGCCGACGAGAATGGATTCGTCCCCCAAGGTAACCACTTCCCTACTGCGCCACCTGTCCCAGCAGAAATCCTGGCTGCACTCGAAAGGAATGCTGCAGAAGAGGCCGCCCAAAATGGAGGTGCCATATCTCCGTCCTACCACCACTTCTTCAGGAGTGTGAAAACCAGGCACCATTGATCTCTTCGGCATTTGCTCACTGTTTTCCTATAGATATGTATTATATTGAGAGTACAAATTGCATTAATGTATCTTAAATCAATAAATGTTTTTAGTCATTTACTTTTATATAATTGGGTTGTTTGGTATATTATTTTACCCTGTTTCATTAGACATAACATATTAAGTACTTTTGGATTTCACGATTAGATTTCGCTAGTGATCCTTACTTACCAATAAACCACATATCTGATGGCCAAGTCTACAGATGCAAACAACGGCTTTCAATTTCAGAGGAAAATTGCTTTGGAGTATGGAGCATATCATACTCACTGCATAGAGTTAATTTGTGTTGTATTTAGTGCTGTAATATGCTTGATTTACTTACAGTTTTTATAGCTAATGGAAAATTATTCTAATTTCTCAATAGAAAATGTCTGTGGCAATCAATTCCTAAATTTCTTTAATAACATTTTTAAACCAAATATAATATATTACCACAGAGGCAGGCTTTTGAGAATGGCGGGGGAAGCCACTTTGTTGCTCCTCTCTCTCTCTCTCTCTCCTCCCACAAAGTTTTGTGAAGTGTCCAGGTTTTTAGTACATCTCGAATATTTCACGGTAATTTACTATAAAAAAAACACAGAGTTCAAGAAATCATAAATTAATATTGATTTTACGTTAAACATAATAAACTGATAACTGGGCTATGTACTTTAAGTATGTCATTTTACACTTCGCCTCATATAATTTATTCCTGTAGAATAAACATTAATAATGTTAAAATATAGTTTATCTTTTGACCTTGATGTTTTGTTACTCTAATGACGAATCAAGCAACCGACTAATAGGTGGCATTAAAGGTATAAGTTAATATAGAATTTAAATTTAACATTACTTCCTTGAACTAATGTAAAACTGTGCTTCCAACAAAAAAACAACAACATAATTTTAGCCAACTCAGTCTAATAAAAAATTGTTTAGTTGTTGTTTCAAAAAGTCCTAAAGTAGCGTAACAAAATGTTGATATTAATGATGTAAGTGCTGCTATCTGCTGTAAAGCGGGGATAACTATTAGTCTAGTAATCTACCACTAGAGAGCTCTAGCTTTAGATGATCTGTGACATTTGTATTTAAGTTTACATTTAACTCAGTTTGAGGCAAATTGTTAAAAACAAGGTAAAGGAATGACACAAAATATGGTATTATTCTTTCCGTTCTTTCCAAAAATAGAATATTCCTTATTTACAATGTGTATGATTCGCAAATTAATTATTTTTAAAAAATTGGAACTGCTTTGATGATATCAACATCTATGAAGAATTGTAATCTCCTTACTAAAAATTTGAAAATTGTTAATTTACATTTAAATTTAAAAATATACTGCATGAATTTATGTTATTAGATAGCATCAAACAGTGAGGAATTGTTTACTGTTTTAAATTAGGCTGAAAGGTAATATTTTCATTTTGCATATAATCAAAATAAGCTAAATATTTGTCAAATTAATTGATAATTACTTATGATGTTGTCCAATTATCTGTGGGATACTTTTCATAATTTCCATTTTTTTTTTCAGTTTTATCATTGATATTTAGAGTTAAGCTTGGGCATCTCAAGACACAAGTTGTTCAATCAAATATTTTGAGGAAGATAAATTTTTAGAGGGTTTTGAATTTTCGAGAGGGTAAATTTTAAGTGGATTTAGAATTTTTGGAGGAAACCATGTTTTTGTGGGGTTTCTGTTTGAAATAACTTTCAAACTAGGTAACAAGGGAAAAACATGGAACAGATATAAATGGTAATTGTAGATACATAGATACATAGTTGGTGCAAAAACCCGTTACCGGGTCTAGGCCTTGTCTAAAAGTCTCTGCCAGTTGGCTCTATCTGTTGCCGCAGCTCTCCAGTTCCTAACGCCGAGAAGATTGCGTGCGTCTGCTGTGATGGAGTCAGCCCACCTCACATTTGGCCAATATTACCCACTATTCTCTTGCTATGAAGCTCTTCAGCCAATGTTCTCTTAGGGATCTCGTCCTCCTTCATCCTTGCAATGTGGCCCGCCCATCGATGTCTCCCAATCTTGATCCACTTGATGATATCAGGAAATTGTAGCTATATAAACTATTTATTTTTTTTATAATTTATCCTACTTTTACTTTTAATTTCTCAGGAGGAAGCAAAATCCATTTATGGTTAGGGGATCTGTTCCCCCGACTAAAATAGCACTGTCTTTACTTTAACATTTTTATTTATCAAAACACAATAAATTATCATTGTTTAAGAAAACAGCGGCAAGAATAGTTTAAAAAAGGAAATCTATTTTTTCTTCAAATATTTATAGATACATTAGGGTAAATGCACCAGTCAAAAATTTCTTTGAACTTTAACGTGTTAAAACTTAAATATTGATGTTATTTTATCTTCTTGAGTTCATCTTATAGAACTAATTCTCAACTTGCCAAGACACATTTAAAACGCAAGAAACATCCACCTAAATTTTAGAAAGTTGTAAATTCAGAGAATAGTTCAGAGTAGCTGCCACTGTTTAATTTGGAATGATCCAATAGCTGGCAGGGATGAGTACTAGTATATAATTGTGCAACATAAGTTGTTGAAATTTTATATTCTTTGTTGTAAATAGGTATCACCAAAAATTTCTCTTAACTTATATAAAACTGAGATCTTTTGTTCATATTAGGTTTTATTGTAACCCTAATATAATATTAGTAATTAATTAGGAATAAAATATATAGGAACTTTTAGCTTAGTTTAAAAATAGAATATATATTTATCATTTTTATCCTTACAATAATTTTAAGCCAGCTTTTTTACTTTCACTTTCCCTTTGTCAGAAAATACTTATTTCTAAAATATTTACCTCTAAAAATGAATAAAATCTTAATTAAATAATTTATCAAGGGTTAGACCTTACTCTGTCAAATCACTTACTTACACATTTCTTGATCAAGATATAGTACTTCCTTACAACATATTTAACACACGACTCCCTACAAGTTGGGTATAGGTTCTTTTTTTTACTTATATTATTTTTATAAATGCATTTTTTCAGAGAACATCTATGCCAACAATACTCTGGATTTTCTAGACTACTATTACATCCTAAATGTTTAAATCTGTTAATTAATGGCACTAAAGTATTGAAGTTATATTAAATAGTAGATTTAAAGAGCAAACTTTGGAGCTTGGAAAACAACCATTAGGATCCTAATAGATAGATACATAGATCCTAATAGATAGATCCTAATGGATAGATCCTATCTATTATATAGGATGCTAAATGGAATTTGGAATTTTGCACCTTATATTGGTTAAAAATAACGATTATTATTAGTTTACCAAAATCAGTGTTCTGAAGTTTTTCTCAGTATCAAAATGGTTGCTTTCCAAGCTCCAAAGTTTGTTCTTTAAACTTTACTATTATTTAATATAACTTAATACTTTTGTGTCATTGGTTAAAAAAATAAATATGTAGGGTCTAGTAGAAGGCTAGAAAATCCAGAGCATTGTTGGCATTCATGTTCTCTAAAAAAAATGTATTTATAAAAATAATATATATATAAAAAAAAGAAAAGAAACTATACCCAACTTGTGGAGAGCCTTGTGTTCAGTATGTTTTAAGGAAGTACTATATCTTGATCAAGAAATGTGTAAGAAAGTGATTTGGCTGAGATTAAGGTCTAACATGTTTTACCTTAATAAATTATTTAATTCAGATTATATCCATTTTTTAGAGGTAAATATTTTAGAAATATATATTTTCAGACAAAGGGGAAGGGAAAGTAAAAAAGTTGGCTTAAAATTATTATAAGGATAAAACTGATAAATATTTATTTTATTCAGGAGCATAGGGACGTTGGAACGAAGGGAGCAACTTATCTTGGGATTGTTATTATTATAGAAAATGATTCGGAACTGAAATGAGGTCAGTAAGGCTTTCAGTTTCAGGTTTTGATTAAGTTGTGCCTCATGGACATTTGAAAATAGGGATACCAGAAAATACAAAAGTTTTGCCCATTGACCCTGTACCTTGATGTCAGTGATCATTTTTTGGGTGTGTTCAGATGACTTGAAATGATTTATAGTATCATTCTGTTTGAATAACTATCTTGGTCTATGGATTAATGCTCAACACGGAAGAAGTAAACAAGTCTAATGTTAAAACTATTTAATTGCTAAAAACAACTCTTTGATCAAACAATTTTAAAGGCTCCTACACAAAGAACACGATATGTTCCAGCGATATGGTACCCTTTGGGAGTATTGACTGGTATAATGTAATTGCTATCATATTGCCAAAACATATTATACTCTGTGTGTAGGAGCCTTAATGTGCTTTAAAGTGGCTGTAATAGACTAATTTTTGTTTTTCATAAAATAATGGATTATTCTCATTTTTTTACAAGCTTCAGAAAACAACTTCCATAAGTGGGTCACACAACTCAGAAAATGATGTCATATCCCCCAAAAAGTTTAAAAAAAAAAAAAAAAAAAAACTGCATTTAAAAGAAAGAAAAAAAAAAAAGGCTAAATTAAAACATGTTACTTAACAGGCACTCTGGCAGAATAGAAGAGTGAGGTCACCAGCCAGATGTCAGAATTTATAACATTACAACTAGGGAAAGTTGAAGACAAGGGTTTATTTCAAATATACTGAGACAAAATAACAGTTCTTTAATAAGAATAAGAATAATTAAAAAATTTAACAAAATGAGAATTAATGAGATTATACAACAATCGATGCCCAGTTGGAGCTGTGAGAAAGTGTAACCCTCAGGCAATGACACAAAGACAATTTTTTTTAAATTACATTTTATATCAGTGTTACATTGTTATAAATATTAAATATTTAAGTGAATTATTACACTAACATTTTATTGAAGGAGAATCTCGATGGTTATACTTATTTTAATGTTTTAGTTTAGATACTTTTATAAAATAAAAGGAAGTGTTTAAAAATGTTAAAAATTGTTTACTAAATTTTAATTTATTACTACATATCAAAGATTAAAGCTTTGTAATTAATTATGGTTGAGAAGTAACGGTTTTGTTATTTTGCCATCCAAAACAAATGCTATGCATATATGCCGCTTGAGAGATTGCATGCACAACCCTCAATGATGGTTGGGATCAAACAACATATCATTTGTAGAGGAATGGAAATATTTAGGTATGTATTTAGACAAACGCTTAACTTGGAATAACCATATCATAGGGATGGTTGCTCAAAAAGGTTAGAGCTGCTGAAGTGCCTTTCGCA